CAAAACGCTTTGTTCTTTAAAAACGTTCTTGTTTAAAAAGAAAAAAAAATTTCAAACGGAACATACTGCTTCCTTTCCAACCAGATGTAATTAGTGCTCACTGAAGCCTCATCTCCCAGTGCACAAAATTAGGACATTGCTTTGTCTCTTGTTGGTTTTGTTTAATTTGACTTCAGTGTCTTTACAGTGAACGTATTGGCCTGATAAATTACTTCTTTGTTTTCAAAGACAGTTCCTTCCTGTCACTCACTTTGAGATCTGTGGAACATTCACAGATGTTAATTCTTCCTATGTAATAATCAGACTTTCCCCCTTATTTTCCTAAAAACAATGTTTACACTCTTAACATTTGACTTTGAATTGCCTTAAAAAAAAAAAAAACAACTTTTAATGGCAGTAGAATCACAGAACGGGAAGGGGTATCTCGGGTGCCCCTCCTGCTGTTCAGGGAGCATGGTCAAGGGCCTGTGATTCTGTGAGGCTTCTCCTCTCCTGAACCGCAGCGTACTGCTCAGCCGCAGGCGCAGAAGGTGAATTCTTAGGGTGACTTTCCTAGGGTCCCCAGAAGAATTGGCTTTACTAAATGGGACAGTCTCTATTCCTTGATTTTGCTTAGGCAGGTGTAGCTTGGCCTCTTTATTTTTTCTGCTGCTAATAGTTTCCTCATGAAAACTGGTGAGGGGTGGGCAGGGCAGGAATAACAAGGACTGAGGGGGTCCAGTGCTGGGGAGGCTGTGGGTGAGGCTGGGTGTTAGAGGACCGAAGATTAGAGATGTGAGTGCTTTGCCGTTTTTTTCATCCCTTCACTCCTGAACAAATCAGTTAACCTCAGCTGTTTGTTTTGTTTTGTTTTGTTTTGTTTTGTACTGGTGGTGAGAAGGAACTTTTATAAATAATAGTAATATCTGCTTTGGCTAATTTTATAAGTTGTCTAATACTGGTTGGCACTATTAGAACTTTTTCAGGGTGAAACCTGGAAAGTGCTATCTCAGAGTTGTAATACTTCTCATACTAAACCTATTGCCCACTGTGTAAAGCTTCCTGGTATGTAAACAGTACTAGTAATTGATGGTTTTCAACGTCAGTGTTCTTTCCCTGTCACCTGTGAAGGGATCACTCTGTGACCTAGGAGTTGAAGTGATAAGTTTTGCTTTTACTTGTTGTTTAGTTCTTAAGTGATGTATTTAAAGAAAAGGTGGAACTAATGGCTTGATGCAGAGAAATCGATTGATTTGCCTAGATTTAATAAACAACTATAGAAAGAGAAGAATATTTGTTATGTGTGGGGTTATTTTTCTGTTTAATTACGTGTTTTTCTGAATGTCTGACCCTGGTGGTACAATGATTAACAAAGAACATGTGAATTACATTGTGTATTTAAAATTAAGTCATAATTTTATTTTCCTGACTTCGATCATTCTCTCTGCAAATTTGAGTATTCGATTTATTTAAAGTGTCTCTTTTGTTTTGTTTTTGGTAATATTTTCATTGGTTTTCTTTTTTTAGCTGTTGTTGAGTCATAGCTTTAAATATGTTAATATTCTTGATTTTTTAAAAGGAAATTAGGGCATTATCTCCTTAATAAGATTTTTGGTTCAGTAGATACAAATAGTACAATAATGGGTTGCTTGGATTTGAATTTTAAAAATTAACAACTTAATTTTCTTAGTTTTTCTGCCACTGCAGGGTAAATTTTAAACAGTGAAGGAACTTCCAAAAAGAGCCAAGTTCATGCTTCTACTAAGGCCTCGGGTGACTGTTTATAGCTAGAGAGCCTCTCAGTTGTGAAAAGGTCTCCCCTACACTACCTTAAACGTCCCCACCCCACACCCAGCACCTCTTCAGCAGCCCATTCCTTAGGCCTTGAATCTTTGATTCCCATTTTATAAGTGAGGTAACTGCTGGCTATTGGTCTGTGCCTTTTTATTATGTCCTGAGCATTAAATATATTAATACAGAGCTAGCATAATTATTTTATTTCAGTTTGTTAGGCCATGATTTTCATTTTTTGTATTCTGTGTGATTTTTATAGTCTAAAATTTAGTAATTTATTTAATCTACCTTTTCCCCTGAATGTGGTGTTATCCATCACATTGCAACAGAAGCCATGGGATTTTCTTACATTAATTTTCATATGTACAGTTTTTAGAGTATTTCACTGTTTAATTTGTTCCTGAGGGGTCTGTATTCTTTTGCTTCTTTGATAAGTTACATGGATTAATACTATTGTGTATTTGTGGAAATTCAGGCAGTCAGAAATCCATAGATCTCCTGGCTTTGATATTGGATCATTGTGTAACTTGACCAATTAGCTACTGGTTTGTTTATTAATTTAATGACCATGTACTATGTTCACAAGAGCAGCAGTTATGAAGAAAGGAGGGAACCGTGACTTCTAATTTAAACTATAGCTAAGGAAGCAGAGTATGTGTGTGTATATACACACACATATATACACATACATTAAAATCACTAAGTTGCAAGTCTAGATCAGTGTTAAAAAGAAGCACAGGACACCCTGATGATAAATTTGTATAACAATCCTAAAGAGTATAATCAGAGTACAAGTGAGTGAGTTGCATAGCTTTTTATCACTTCTCTGGTATTTAAATGTGTTGAGTCTGTCTTTTCAGTTCCCAGTGCAAATTTCTAATTTTACTGGCTAGCTCTACAGAAGTGTTTATTGCTCTTACAAATTCAGAATATCCGAAACTTAACTTTTTATTTATGGCTGAATCATCCTAAGAAAATGAATCGCTAGTTACTGTAAGTGGTTTGGAACTTCTAGAGTCTGGTTTTAAAAATGAAATGAAATACGTGTTTATTTAACTTAATTCTTTTCTGAAATAATACAGTTATAAGTATAAAAGGTTAGTATCTTCTCCCCACCTAAAAGAACTAAACATAGCAATTTAAGAACTTGTTGACTGAGAAAACAACAGATTTGAGGGAACAGCCAAGGGAAAAGTATATGTTGTATTTATACCGTGTATTCCCAAGCTATGAAACAGGAGAGAATATTAACCACAGATGTGTGTGTGTGTGTGTGTGTGTGTGTGTGTGTGTGTGTGTGTGTGTGTCCTCGTAATCTTGGACAAGTTATTTAGGTAGGTCATTTATAAGCCAGAATCTGAAGATAGCTTGAGAAGTCTGTGCTGTTTACTTTATCAATTCCTTTGTCTTGATTTCATTAGATTCCTTACATTCTTTTTACTAAAGTCTCTGAGTTTATAGGGAGCATGTCTTCCTTCTTGACCAGTGAGTGACATGGAGTCTATTTTGATTAATTTGTTTTTAGGGAGGTAAAAGCTTTGTTTAAGTGATAAAGTGTTGAAAAAGACCTGTGTCAGGAGAATTTTATACTGTCCTGAATTCTTCTAATTCATGAACATTAGACATTATTTTTTGCATTCATTTTCCTATTGACTTTTTCTTTCTTAAAAATTTAAAAAATATTATATTGATTATGCTATTATAGTTGTCTCAGTTTTTCTCCTTTGCCCCCCCTCCACCCAGTACCCCCTATTGTCTCCTACAATCCCCCCTTTAATTAATACCCATGGGTCTTGCATATAACTTTTTTGGCTTCTGCATGGCCTATACTGTTTTTAACATCCCCCTATCTATTTGCACTACCCATTTGTACTTCTTAATCCCTGTATCTTTCCTCCCATTCGCCCTCTTCCCCCTCCCAACTGGTAACCCTTCAAAATGATCTCCATATCTATGATTCTGTTTCTGTTCTGCTTGTTTGCTTAGTTTGTTTTTTAGATTCAATTGTTGATAGTTGTGAGTCTATTGCCATTTTATTGTTCATAGTTTTGATCTTCTTTTTCTTAAATAAGTCCCTTTAACATTTCACATAATAATGGTTTGGTGATGATGAACTCCTTTAGTTTTTTCTTGTCTTGGGACGCTCTTTATTTGCCCTTCCATTCTAAATTATAGCTTTGCTGGGTAGAACAACCTTGGCTATAGGCCACTGCTTTTCATGACTTTGAATATTTCTTGCCAGTCCCTTTCTTGCCTGCAGTTTCTTTTGAGAAATCAGCCGACAGCCGTATGGGAACTCCTCTGTAGGTAACGCTCTGCTTTTCTCTTGCTGCCTTTATGGTTTTTCCCTTTATCTTTAACCTTTGGCGTTTTAATTATGATGTGTCTTGGAGTGGGCCTCTTTGCATCCATCTTGTTTGGGACTCTCTGTGTTTCCTGGACTTGGATGTCTATTACCTTCACCAAATTAGGGAAGTTGTCTTTCATTATTTTTCAAACAGATTTCCAATTTCCTGCTCTCTTCTCCTTCTGGTACCTCTTGTGATTCAAATGGTGGAATGTTTGAAGTTGTCCCAGAGGCTTCTTAGCCTATCTTCATTTTTTTAAATTCTTTATTCTTACTGCTGTTCTGATTGAATTTTTGTTCCCTATGTTCCAAATCATTGATTTGATTATTATCAGCATCCACTCCATTGCTGATTGCCTGTGAATTTTTCTTTATTTCACTCAGTGTAACCTTCATTTCTACCTGGGTCTTTTTTATGCTGTGAAGTACCCAATGAGTGCCTTGAGCATCCTAGTCAGCGTTTTAAACTTTGCATCTCATAGATTACTTGTCTCTATTTTGTTTACTTCTTTTCCTAGAGTTTTCTTCTGTTCTTTCATTTGGTCCTTATTTCTTTTGTCCTCATTTTGGCAGCCTCCCTGTGTTTGTTTCTGTGTGTTAGGTAGAGCTGCTTTGACTGCCTGTCTTAGTAGCTTGGCCTATTGTGGAGAACCACACCCATAAGTTGGATGGGGTGGAGCCTTAGGTAATCACCAGGGTGGGGCAACCTGTGTGAACAAAGTTAATGGAGTCTCAGATATGGTGTCACCACTCTGTGGTGCTGTGTGAGGGACAGCTCAGAAAAGGGACAATGGTCACTACCTGGCCTCTGGGGTTTTATCCATGAGGAAGCTGTCCCCCAGCACTCGCCCTGATGCTAGACACTTGTTTCTCCCCACAGGCCACTGGTGCCCTTCCAGCTGCTGCCCTGGTTCTGGATCCCAGTGGGAGTGAGTCTGTGTAAGTCCTACGTCTATTTTAGGTCCTTTAAGAGGAGACACCTGAGAATCCCACACTTCCTTCTGCTGCCCTAATGCCTCCTGAATTTTACATCCAGAAGTTATAGGGATGTATCTTCTTGGCACTGGAACCCTGGGCTGGGGGGGCTGGGTGGGACAGAGATCCCTCGCTCCTGAGATATCCCTCCCAACTTCTATTCACCACCCATAGGTGTGGGACCACCCCTTTTTCTGTCTGTCTCCACCCCACCTATCCATCTGGATGAATGTGACTTCCTCAATTCCTTGGTTTTTGGACTTCTGTATAACTCAATTTTCTGACAGTTCTGGGTGATAGTTGTTTTGTAATTCAGTTGTCATTTTTGCTGTGGTTGTGCAAGGAGGCGAGCCATGTTTACCTACACCTCCATCTTGATCAGAAGTCCTGTTGACTTTTTCATAAGTATAAGTATAATACATTTGCACATTTTCTTTCACTATTTAATAAGTAATATTCATAAAAATATTTCAGTTAAACATTTTACTTATCACATGGAAATCACAAATCATAGATTAGAACAATAGTATTCCTTTTTTATGTATTGACTTGGGATATATTGAAGAATTTTACAATGTGGTATATTATTTACAGTAGCATCTCTAATAGTAAGATTAACTTTTATTCCAGGAGTTTAAATCAATACTGCAGGGCTTTACTGGACTTAAAATACTTTGGTGCCAATTTTGTCACCTCTGGGTTCACACTGACACTTCTGCATTAGGACTGTGTTTTTCCCCCAGTTACACGTAACGGTCAGTTTCTGTCCTGTGCAGTTAGCATCTGTGTTACTCAGCAGACAAGTACAGTGTGACATGTGTCAGCCGCTGTGCTGAAGGAGGGGTTCAAGTAGCAGTATGGGAATCAGAGGGGTTAGGCTAACAAGTACACTGAGGTCTGCCACGCTCAGACAGAAGCTCGCTGGTTTGGAAGCACAGGGAGGGGGCCACCTCCAGATCAAAGAGGGGCTGAGAGACTGGGGAAAGATCCGGGAAAGGAGCCTGAAGGGAGTGTGAAGTATGTGCAAGAATCAGAAGCATTTTCTCTGGAGGGAGAGCAGAGATGCTGGAGAGAATGACACATTTAAAGGCCTGAGATGCCCTGGCAGAGGTGAGAGCTGGGGGAGTTGCAAGGTGATCAAGAGGTCATACACACTTCATGACCTGTGAGGAGTTTGGATTTTATCCTGGAGGCAGAGGAGGACCATTCGAGGATTCTGAGCAGGAGTGTGGAGTCAAATCTGTATTTAAGAAAGACTTTTCTCTAGCAATAACAGATAAAATGGATACACAGGGAGAGGCAGGATAGCAAAGCAGGGGAATGGATCAGTTAGCAGGCAGATGCAGAATGCAGCAACCACACTCCTAACTACGAGTGTTCAAAGCAGGATTATTTGTGATAGCCCCAAAATGAGAACCCAGATGCCATCAACTGCAGGCGGATGAGTGAATGCTGGTGCATTGGTACAGTGGAGAGCTCTGCTGCAGAGACAGGAGGAAGTGCTGCCGTGCCCCGCAGTAGCAGCGAAGCTCAGCAGACATGCTGTCACACCAGAGAAGCCAGACACCACTTCGTACGCTGTCGTCCATTTATGCAACATTCAGAAACAGACACAGCTGGTCTGTGATGATAGAGGTCAGAATGAAGGTTGTCTTCCAAGGAAAGGATTGGGACTAGGATAGGGATTCTTCTTAATCTTGGATGATTAGACGGGTGTGTTTGCTTTTTAAAATTCATCGCACTTAAAATTTCTGAGTTTTTTTGTAATATGTTATGCTTCAATGAAAACATTTTTTTAAAAAATCCAGTTTTCTTATACCCTAGACATGTACACTATTCCATTATCATCCCCACCTCCCTTCCGTCTAAACAGTGACTTATTTGCCTCACTGCTGTTTTCCTTCTCACCGAGGCAGGGAGCAGGAGGCAGGTTTTAGAGACCTCTGGAGTAATCCATGGCCATGTTTCTTCACTCATTTCATTCCATGGGTTGATACTCTGCAAGTGACCTTTGCCAGGATTACCATTGTGTTATCAGTGCTCGAGCTTTGCTCTCTAGTCTGAAAATGTAGGACTTGGTGAAAATATAAACATGTGATGGAAATCAGATATACCAATGAAATGCAAATAAATTTATTTAAACATAAAAATAGGGTCCCCACCCCGTTAAGGAAGCAGTTTGATTTGGGAAGTGGATTGGGGTGTTTAAACAGTTAGTTGCTTCAGGAGCTGCACCCTACAGCTGAGCCTTTTCTGTTTATTCATGTGCCCTAGGTTAGATGTAGAGCTTTCTGCATTCACTCTGACTGCTGATTGACAAGCCAGAGCCATCTTCACCTGGCACTGCAGTTTCTGTGAAGGACAGAGACTGGGCCTATGTCCAGTCCTATAAATAGGATACTGCCAAGTAGAGTGTCACGTTAGTCAGCCTCACTGCTGATAGTTAGAAAAATATCAGGTCTTTTACCCTGAAATTTTACAGTGCTCATCTCAAACCTAGCATCTGTCTCCTCCAGTAACACTGGATGCACCCTAAACAGTGCAACCCTTCCTAAGTTATTTGAAGCCCACAAGGTCCCCAACCAAACGTAGAGTGTACACGGTATCTAAAGAGAGTGGCTGCTCAGGATAGTGCAGGGAATTAAGTGTGACAATTTGGAACATTAGCATCATTTGTTTTATCACACTAAATAGCCTATTAAAATTTTATTACACAGAAAATACCTATTACTTTAAAATGTCACTAAAAGATGCACCTATTTTTGTATCTCACCTAGGGATTTAATTACTTAATTAGATTCTCTTCAGGAAATAAGTAGAATAAGAAATTATTCTTGAGTCCTAAAGATTAAGGGGAAACTACCTCTCACTTTTTTTCTGAATGGACACTTTTTAAATTGTCTATGAATTGAAATAGTTGCAGTTTAACAAAGATTCCTAGGGATTATGCATCTTTACTTTTGCCAAATATAATTTCTGACTTTCATACTCTTAAAGCATTTAGTAATTTATCCACTAAATAAGTATAGCAGTGAAATTTTTTAAAATAATTAAAGCATTTTATACTTGATCCAGTGAATAAGCATCGTAATGAGGTTTTAAAAAATCACATTTAAACTATGTTGATTAAATCTTAAACTTAGTAGAAATTTTATAGTCTAGTAATTACTTTAACCCTAGAAGTTTAAATGTTTCTATGTTTTGGCTTTGAAATGTTTACATATTAATGTGGCTTAGAAATATATACCTGCAAAGGAACATCTTTTGATATATAAAGTTTGGCTGTTTGAAGTAACTATTCTAGCTGTAAGTAAAAACAATGTTTTGTTGAAAAGTTCACACACATAATTGTAACTATAAAAATCATGTCATAATTGATGGGCTTGATATTAACGATACTATGAGAAGTCTGTGGTGATCATGGCTTCACGAATGAAAAATACATTTCTTTTTATTTTCTAATAGGTAAACTAGTGGGTTTCATTGCAGAATGCCGTAAATACTAAAATCAGATAATAGATCATTATACCTGAATGGTGTCTATAAGGTATTGAATGTAATTTGCTATCACTCAAATGGATTTCAAAAACCACTAATGAAGTAGCCCACATCCATTCAGGTTTAGAGAGGAAATGGCTCTGCCTTGTAGACAGCTTTTGCAGTAGAGGGACATAGCCGCCGTGGTCTGATAGCATTTGGACTCGGGCAAGCTCTAGTCCTGCTGTTTGAGACAAAGGAGACTGGGAGCTTTAGTTTCCAGCAGGAGCCTAAGGGGCTGTGTATGCCTAGTTAAGTCTGATTTGATTATTGAACATCTGCTTTTTGCTTCTTCCCAGTTCTGTGGCAACAGTTAGGCCAAATATATTATTTAGTCTAGTAGTATTGGAGTTTATAGCCCCTGGGTCACATCTGCTTGATTGCTTTCTTTCCTGAGCCAAGATTTGTGATTCCAAAAGCCCTTGCAAACTTTACCAATAACTTTGTCTTGTAAAGATAAGTAGCTTTTAGTGGTTATGAGCATTATCAGATTTGGACCTACCTCCTGCCAGCCGAGTGACTTTACTGACAAGTTACTGATTTCTCTCTACCTCAGTTCTCAGTCTCCTCACTTGTCTCGTGATAATTCACGTCATGGAGAGCTACAGATGGGTCTAAAAAGGGTTACATAAAAAATATCCTATATATTGTATATATAACACAGTTAACTTCTGTCACATAGCAAGCATTCATAAGTGTTCGCTATTTACTATTCTTATTGGCTAGATTCAGTAAAAGACAAGGATGTGTTTTCTTTTGAAGTGTTGGTTTACAATGAAGGTATTGAAGTATATCTGCTGAAGGAGAAATATCGCAAATCTTTTTGTACCTAAACCTATCCTTAAATATCACCAAGTTTTCAGTGATTTTCTTTCAGTAGAAGCACGTTATCACGTCATTTGCTCACCGCAGATTGTGAGAAAGAGCATGAAGTCGCGCACGTGGTAGAGGGCAGGGTAGCTGAGGCCGCGGCTCCGGGTGTTTCACTGGGGACTTTGAGAGCGCGGTGGCTCGTCCCAGCCCTGGGGGCTCACCAGGAGGTGAGCCATCACAGAAGGCGGTGCCATGCACATGCCTCCAACTGTGTCTGAAGGGCCGAAACATAGGCTGCGGCCCCAACAGAAGACGTGATTGTAAAGCAGATGGCTTTTTATAGCACGATAGCAAGAAAATTTCTTAAGAGATTTTTGTGCCAGTAAAATTAAGTGGCAAAATTCCACTTAATTTTACTGTTCCACCTACCATAAACATTTAAGAACATTAGCAAGAACAGACTATCCGTAGGTTTTTCTTGCTAATGGTCTTTTTTCAATGGTAACCTCCGTGTTATGGTCTGTTTTAACTAAATTCTTTATAGGAACAACTTCCTCAATAACTCCTGTACTGGGTACTTAATTTATTTCAATGTATGTAATGCATAGTCACTT